TCAGGAAGAGAAAAAGGGAGAGCGAGCGAGAGAGAGAGAGAGAGAGAGAGAGAGAGAGAGGACATGAGGGATTGGCTGGAATGGGACTGAAAGAGGAATAAACACAATATTAGAGAGGATGAGTTATGTGGTGTGTGATGCATATGTACTGTTGGTTAGGTATATGAAATCTGATGATGCTGTAAAGATAATATCATGAACAGCGATAGTACAAATAGCCACTAAAACTACTGAAACAATATGTAAATATGAATTTAACAAACAATGTCGTCCACGCAGTTTCTCTTTACAAGAAAATAGTAGTAGTTTAGCAGTTTATAGTAGCAATTTAATCGTAAATTCTTATTCTTATAAAGTTTCAGAAAAACTACTTGTACTCCACATGAAACTATTTTAAACAGCATTTTGCCAATTCAATTAGTTCCTATTTGCTACAAATTCATTTTAGTGCTTAATATTAATTTAGAGCCTACGTGGTATTTTAAAACTAACTAGTGAGGGTAAACATTGACGAATGATAATAAACTAGTTATATAAACTTATAATGCATATCAATTTTAACCTGAAATCTAAAATAAAAATAATAATTCCATGGATATGAAACTAAAATTTGTGATACACTGATCTGATTTAACTGTAATGTATAAAGCATTATATAAATAAAACTGACTAATTTCCCATAAAACTAAACATACGTTTATGTCTATTTCATGTATGTGTATATAAGTCTATGCATGTACATATAAACTAAACCTGATACATAATGACTGACACTGAAACGGGAAGCACGCACCTTTGAGCTCTTCTTGCTTTGGGGTTTCTCATCAACATCGTCATCATCGCCTGCGTCCTCTTCATCGTCATCACTTTGCCCCTGACTCAGAGCAGCAAATATGTTGCCACCCTGACAGAAAGAGAAAGACAAAATATATATATATATATACACAGTGGGGAAAAAAAGTATTTAGTCAGCCACCAATTGTGCAAGTTCTCCCACTTAAAAAGATGAGAGAGGCCTGTAATTTTCATCATAGGTATACCTCAACTATGAGAGACAAAATGAGAAAAAAAAATCCAGAAAAGCACATTGTAGGATTTTTAAAGAATTTATTTGCAAATTATGGTGGAAAATAAGTATTGGGTCAATAACAAAATTTAATCTCAATACTTTGTTATATACCCTTTGTTGGCAATGACAGACGTCAAACGTTTTCTGTAAGTCTTCACAAGGTTGTCACCATGACTTTTTGAAATTGCACTGTTCTATACACTGTGCAGCAGGAGGAAAATGATTCTGTCCACAAAGTGCATCCCAGTGAAGAGAAGTACCGCATAGCATATCAAAGCAGCTCACTTTGTTTTTCTTTCCTCCTTTGACTGGAGCAACTACTGCAAAACAAAAATAAACCATGATGTTAAATATGTGGTGTGATGTGTGACATGCTGCCACAAACCAAGTTTATGACATTACCCTCTTCTTCATCTTCATCTTCATCACTGGGCTGCACTGACAGTTTCTTGAGGCGCTGCATGACCTCTGCATCATCATCATCATCCTCATCGTCTCCTGGTTTCCCTTTCCGCTTGTCTTTCTTTTTCTTCTGAGGCTAACAGCAAACGAAAAAGCAATCCAAAAACATACCATATTTGACTGTAATTAAATGTACTTTAAATGTAATTAAATATATGGTAACACTTTATTTTAAACGCATGTTAAATGTACTATTATAATAACAATAATTTATGCATAATTGCATGCGAGTAACCCTAAGCCAAACCCTAACCATATAGTAAGTACATGTAGTTAATTAATACTCAGTACTGAAATGTATAATTACACTGTAACAAGGACACCTTAAAATAAAGTGTAACCAAATATATTTTTACTTTATATAATATATTTATAAACATTGGAATTAATTCAGATAATGCACCTGTTTCCCTTGTGCCTCTTTCACTGGTGGCTCTTCTACTTTTTCTGGTTTAGTATCTGATGCCAGCTCCTCAAAAAACTGTCAAGATAAAGATCAAAATATAAAAATGCAGAAATATGCATAAAACAATTCTGATGTCAGTCAGAGGTATTGGTTTTGAAAATGTATTTATTATTATTTTTGCAATTGTGTTTGGTTCTGTTAGAGCTGGTGCAACTCAGGAAATATCATTAGACAAATATGAATTAAATATTAATAAGAGCAACTAAAAATTAAACATCATATAATGCTTAGATAAAAATAGTTTGGATTTTTTTACATTTGTACGAACTTGAATGAACTCTTGAGTTCAAGCATAATGCTTATAATGAAAGTTATAACAAACCACAGTCATGAATTAACACAAATAAAAACTTACACTCTTCTTCCCCCTCTTATCCTTCTTTCCTTTTTTGACATTTTTTTCTAAACAAAGAAAAATTATTATGTTAAGCACTTTTGTAGACAGAAATACACTCAAATGAACACGCGCTATTTGACAGCAGTATGACAATGCCACAGAAAGAATAGTTTGTGTATAGGTTTAAAACAACAGCTTTCTCAAAAAACCTAGTGAGCTGCCTACCGAGACAGCATTTTTTTGGGGGGAACGTTCCTGTGCTGCCAAAAAATGCTGTCTAGGTAGGCAGCTCACTAGGTTTTGAAACAACCGCTATATCAGCATTTAAAACTTGCACAGTTGAAACTAGGCCTGCCACGATAACATTGTTTTGTTGTGCGATATATTGCCCCAGAAATAATTGCGATAAGCGATATTATTGTCATTTTAAAGACCATTTTATGCCACTGAATATATAATCATAATGGAGCAGCATAATAATGCAAGAAGGCCTACACACTTTTAATTTAAGAATATTTAGATCATGGAAATGAAGTATCAAAATATTAGATACCTTAAAAAACTTGAATGAATAGTAAATAAACATTTTCTAACAAAAAGTGCAAAAAAGAAAAATGCACAAAGAACTTGTATGGAGATTTTTCCATCTACAGATATTTCCCAGACCTTCGTTTCTCTGTAAATTAAGGGTGCACACTATTGCTGAGAAACACAATCTCTACTCAGCAGTCAGATGTCTGCATGCACAAAGGCACAGATCCCTAAACAAGGCCATATCTGCAGATGAAACTTTGTTTGTAGAAGCATTTTTATAATTTGAGCTAGCACCTCATGACTACACGTTATGTAGGAGAAGCTGCAGAAGACACAGGCGCACGTGCAATGCACAAAACATGGTGACATTCATGTTTAAGTAAATATAATGGGCGATATATTGCATCACCAAAGATTATTGAGGTCATGTACATATATTGTGCGATAAGCCGATATATTGATTATTGCGACAGGCCTAATTGAAACGTGGATCAAAAAGCGAATATGGTCTTAAATTTGATCAAGAGATGCAATGAATGCACCACCACAAACTCGCTTCTGTCGTAAGCGAAGGGGATAAGCAAACAATATAATAAATCACAACCTCTGTCAAAAATCTATTAATAGCAGAGTTGTCATCATGTAAACTTGTTCAATAATCATATTCATGTCGTTCGTATGAACAGACTGTGGTGTAACGTTAATAGAAACGCATAATCTTGCCTGTTTGTGGCTCATCATCACCCTCCCACTCAGCGACATCTTTTGACTTCTTTGGCATTTTTCTACTAAACCTTTTCTGTCACAGGGAGTGAAAATACGGTATGTTAAATGAGACTCAGGGATGTCTCACAGTTGACAATGCTCACGAGCACACTGGAGCTCAGTCAGCTCACATCACATGCGGCCTATCCGCGCACTGCTACACACACTCAAACGCCGGGAGCTCTGTTCGCGACAGCGCCACACCCTCACTCAGGCCGCCCAAGGTATTGCACTGGCGCTGCCTGAAACGAGTGATTTCAAAGAAAAAGCCGTAGAACCTGTAGAAATAATATAATACAATATAATATAATATAATATAATATAATATAATATAATATAAATATATTGATATATACTAATATATATAAATTAAATAAAATTAAATGTGAGTCCTATCCATGGCTCTTTCATGACAATGTAGACCGTGTGTTTAAGACTTTTATTTTGAAAAGAGAAGGTCGCCTGGGTTGATAAGGGCGTGAGCGTCTTGCAGTATGTCGCGTTCGCCGCTGGATGCCGCTGTAACGGCCAGAGTCCGCTTCTAGAAGGCGATGCACGCATGCGCAGTTGCGCAGACTGGCGCTGGGCAAGGACATAAGGAGAGTGACATTTGTGTAACGTTAACAACAGATTCATATTCTTTCTAAATCACACAGAAATTAGCGTCAATCAGATTTGGATAGACTCTCGCATCTCTGCACAGTGAGCTGACGGTCCACAGCACTTCATCAGATTCAGGGTGGACAGGTATGCATCTCATGTTTACAAGCAGGACGGCTAGCAAATGACCGGCATGATGTATCGATATGAAGACTTCACAGACTAACTATTAAGTTATGTGTCCAACCTAATCACACAGGAAACCTATGATTCTTGATCGCTTTCAGCAGAAGCCCTGTCTTTTTTGAATCGTTCGCTTTGTTTCGGAATGAATTGGTAGTATCTGTTCGGTTGTCAGCTCAGAGTGAAAGTCTTGATTTGAAAAGTGTGACCAAAGCGTGATGTGCATCATGTGTCAGGCTGCGTCTGATCACTGTAAATACTGCTCTACTGTAAATATGACATAGTTGTCTAATCTAAGACGTGGATACGAGGCTTCATTTAATTCGAACGGATGATTAAGCAATGCATTACACACTTCCACCCTTTTTTAAATTATGTATTTATGAATTAAGGTCTTGTTAGCATTTTTGTGCATCCAGAAATGCAGCACGGCCATCATAGGTACCAAAATGCTATTTAAGTTGGTCATTTACTAGGGTTTTTTTTGACACTGTCAGCTTTTGCCCTTTTTCTGCCTCACATTTGTTGCTGCCACTCACTCTTTAGTGAGCTGCCTGCTCAGACAGCATTGTTGGACATCTAAATGTGTTGCACACATCTGTGATGGCCAAAATGCTGTCTAGGTTGGCAGCTCACTAGGTTTGACACCACATAGCTTGTGTACCTTTTCCTTCTGCCTTTGTCTGGCAGTAATGTGTTCATCTGTTTTATTACGTCTTAAATTGATTTTTCCGTACATTTCTGCCATATGTACATTAACTGAGTCACCACTGATAAGCTACCACTAAATATTGTAGAAACTTAATTTGCTGTAAAGTTGCTTTGCAATGATTTGTATCGTGTATCTTTAAAATAAACTTTTTTTCGAAGACTTGACTTAACGTAGATCATATGCTCCTGCAGCATTAGAGTTAATCTCTCACCTGAGATGTAAAAGTAATATTTAGTTAATGTAGTTTCGCCCATGTATCATCTTTTTATTTTGACATTTTACTGATCTGAATTTTTCGAAGACTTGACTTAACGTAGATCATATGCTCCTGCAGCATTAGAGTTAATCTCTCACCTGAGATGTAAAAGTAATATTTAGTTAATGTAGTTTCGTCCATGTATCATCTTTTTATTTTGACATTTTACTGATCTGAATTTTTTTTGTGTGTTCATTGTAATAGTTTTGCACTTATGACTAATAAGGTGTGCCTGTACACTGCCATTCAAAACTTTGTAGTCATTTGGAAAGAAATTATTATTTTTAATCAGCAAGAATGTATTAAAGGGATCAAAAGTGACAATAAAGACATTTATGATATTACAAAAGATTTATGTTTCAAATAAATGCTGTTCTTTTGAACTTTCTATTTATCAAGGATTCCTGAAACAATTAACAATCTATCACAGTTTCCACAAATAATATTAAGCAGCTCAACCGTTTTCAGCATTGATGATAAGAAATGTTTCTTCAGCAGCAAATCAGCATATTAAAATGATTTCTGAAGGATGTGACACTGAAGACTGGAGTAATGCATTCAGCTTTGAATCACGGGAATAAATTACATTTTAAAATCTATTACAATGGAAAACTGTTATTTGAAATGATAATATTTCACAGTATTACTGATTTAACTGTATTTTTGATCAAATAAATAAAAAGTTTAACTAGTAGAGCAATGTTAGCAATGGCATGAGTTAGATTCCTTGGAAACAAAAACTGATCACAAAATAAAGATAAAATGTAGACTTTGAATGCATTGTTGAGTTGCTTTGTTTAAAAATGTCTGCAAAATTCATAAATGTAATGAAGAAGATCTTGTTAGTGTGATTTAAATGTTAGGTTTTGAAGGACAGACGCTTCTTTGTGGATGAGTGAGTAATCCGAGGCAGCGGTGGATGGCAGAGTTCATGTTTGGTCCTCTTTGAGTAGCTTGAGGATGTCATCTTACTGAGACTCCATCGAGGTCACCTCAGCACCCTGACTTGAATGGCTGTGTGCAGAGGGGGTGTCTCTCTTTGGGTGGGGTGTGTCAGGAACCATGGCGGCAGGCAACCGATGACGAAACAGTGCTGGAATTTATGTCAGGTACACATTGTAACACTTTTTACCATGAAAATTTTATTTAAAAACAATTTTGAAAATAAGGGTTAAAGGGATAGTTCACCCAAAAATGAAAATTAGCCCATGATTTACTCACCCTCAAGCCATTCTAGGTGTATATGACTTTCTTCTTTCAGACGAATACAATCGGAGTAATATTAAAAAATGTCCTGGCTCTTCTAAGCTTTATAATGGCAGTGAATGGGGGTCGAGATTTTGAAGCCCAAACAAGTGCATCCATCCCTCATAAAAATGCCTACATCATCCACACGATGACTCATGAACACGTGTATGACACTCAGCGAAAGCTAGAGATTACGGTTTGTAAATTTTTAAATATAAATATTTTTCTTACACAAATGCATCAAGTTGCTTCAGGAGGCCTTTATTCAATTATTGGACTTCAAAATCTACCACCATTTACTGCCATTATAAAGCTTGGAAGAGCCAGGACTTTTTCTAAGATAACTGATTATTTTCTTCTGAAAGAAGAAAGTCATATACACTTAGGTTGGCTTAAGGGTCAGTAAATCATGGGGTAATTTTTATTTTTAGGTAACCTATCCCTTTAACATCTGTACACCCAAATATTTTCAAAGTGTAAAGAATATAAAATTTTTTACACAACTTTACAAATTATATTTAATTTAATTAATCAAAATCAAAAGCTTTGATCAATTAGACTTGTCTGATCTCTAATCAGATTCTGTCTGATTTGCAGACAACCGAATTTCACTTGAATGAAAACTGTAGGGCCCTGAGCAGTGCATCATGGGCCTTGGCTCCTCCGAACAGTCTGCGTTACCTGTCCATTAAGCAGCCATCCCTGTCCCATCCCTTCCACCACGCATGCCAGCTGAACAGAGCGGCCAGCCGGCTCCATCAAAGCTCGCTGGAGAGTCAAAGGCCTGCCCTTCCACTCCATTCTGGTCTTCTTCTACAAGAAAGACAAGAGCCACCTCTACAGGTGAGACATGCTGTGACCGGTCATCAAAACCTTGCTCTGTGCTCGTCTTTGTGTCTTCTTAATGATTTTTTTCTGTTCAGAACATATGATGCATTCTCCACCTTCTATGTTGGCTCTGATGGACGAATACACCGGCATAAAGTTGAAAAGGTGAGGTTTGCTTGCAACTAAATCCTTGTTTTCTATATAATTTTTTTTAATTAAATAGGAAAATAGTTTTCTTTCTTATTATTTTCCAAGAAAGTGTCAGTGAAAAGAAATTTCTGAATCATATTACACTCCTGTTTAAAAGTTTGGTGTCAGCATGTTGTTGTTTTTTATTAATAAAAACGTTCCCCTCATTAACTGGAACACTGATGGATATTTCAGAGTGCTTTCCCTCATTTTGAGCAGATAAAAGCTGAATTTTCCAGATTTATTTCAGTAAACCGATGGGGATTAGAAGTGAAAAGGGGGGGGGGACAGTTTTGTTTTAAAGCGCTGTGTGAAAAACCAGGAAAGAGATGTGAGTGAGGATGTGGAGATAATAGTAGCAGACCACATCTGCACAGTGTCTGTTGTCTTTTCATATTAATATAGTGAAATACAAAGAAAAAGAGAATAATCAGGAGGAACAGAACACAGCTAGAGGACAAAAAATTGATTTTGTCACAGATAATCTAATGTCACATTAAGATAGCAAGCTTTATATGATATTCCTGACAGATAAACAGTGTTGGGAAGGTTACTTTGGAAATGTAATAGGTTACAGCTTACAAGTTACCCTATTTAAAATGTAATAAGTAGTGTAACTATTTGAATTACTTTATTAATGTAACCAATTACATTTGATTACTTTTCTAAATTTCTAATGAATGTTTTCAACTGATCATCATTTACTCAACACTGATTACTGTCAGACTTTCAGAATCCTTCATCATTTGAATTAAGATTATAACTTATTTTTAAAGCACAGCCTCCACAAAATCAGACTTTAGCACCTCTTTTTACTTTGAGATCATTCTGAGGTTTTTTACAGATTCATAACCATAACAAGAAATACTCTAATAGCTATGATACTGTTTTTTTAAATCAAATCTTTGCATAGCTATGACAGGAAGCACATGCATCTAACAGTTCATCTTAAAAAAAAAAGCATATGCATAAACCCAATTAGCAAATAAAACAGTTATCGAATAAACGTGTCCTATTCTGTGTACTAAACTCCTGAAACATTGCCGTCTCATATTTTAGAGCAGTCACTGCAATTTGGGAAAGAAATCAATTAAATCTTTATGTGGGTGTGTGTGTGAAAATATTCAGATGTAACCCCCTTTTTAATCGTTAACATTTTCACAAGTAACTGTAACTGAGTAACATTTATTTTGTAATTAAATTACGTAATTCCTTTACATGTAACTAGTTACTCCCCTACAGATAAATATAGAGAATGCTGGAAAATGTACAGCTCTAATCAAACAGACAAATAAGGATCATTTCTAATGCAGCCTCATTATATGAAATTATTTGTTTAAAAGTGGAAGTTCCCTAAGTACCACCCTTAATTTAAAATATAGTAGACTTGTTTGTAAAAAGGAGATACTGAAGAGATACTGAAAGCTGAAAAAAATGTTTTACAGTCGCATAGAATCAGAAGATATGGAGCAAGATTTTACATTGAGATTTTACTGTGGTCAGAGCTACCCAAAAAAACAAGTTATCAGAAAAATTGTTAAGTCGAGTTAACCGGTATTATAACCTTTGACGCTTGTCTCTTAATTGCGGTATTTCTCAACCTTTTTGACTTGAAGGCCAACATAAAATTCAAATGATACTTATGACAAAGCTTCTTTTCAAACAGTTAACATAAATGGTATTAAATTAGTTCTGTGATTCCACAAGTTTCAAGAACTAATTATTAATTACTATTATTATATTAATTAATTATATTAAGAACTGTATTTCAATTAAAAACAATAGTTATTGAGCATTAGGAAATAAATATTTTCATAAAAAAAATGTATCACTTTAATTTAGAGTATGACTTTCATATATTAATAATAATGTATTAATTGAAGTACATTTAAAGGGATAGTTCCGCCCCGAAAATTAAAAATCTGTCATTATTTACTTTTTTTTCTCTCTAATGAACACAAAGATATTTTGAAGAATGTTGGTGCTGGTCCCGCTTACTTCCATAATATGGAAAAAATAAAATAATATCAGCAACTTTGGTTTCCAGCATTCTTCAAAATATCTTCTTTTACGTTCCACAAAAGAAAGACACTCATACAGGTTTGGAAAAGCCTGAGGGTGAGTAAATGACTGTTCCTTTTTGGGTGAGTTATCCCTTTAAGCCATCCTGCGGCCCCCTTGGACATCTGCTGAGGCTCTCTGATTGAAAAACAACATGTTATCGTGTCATCTCTGGTTTAATCTGAGTGTTTTATCTATGTTGGCAGGTTATGGAGGCTCGTCCTCCCTTGCTGCCCAAAGTGACCTCAATGCTGGCCGGGGCTCTGGTGGCGCTGGGCATTCAGGAGCACCGGCCCGCTCTCAACCTGCTCCCACTCCTGCTGTCTTCCCTCCGACAGACCCGAGCCTGAGCCGCAGATGCATTTGGTCACACCATTAAAAAGACTGAAAAAGATGCAGCGCTGTATTGTGTGGCTTGAGTGAATGAGTTATTGGAAACCATTTTTGGGGGGGGAAATCCAAAAACTGCTCTCACTTGAAACAATCTTCTTTGTGCGCTCTTTAATTTCCATTGTTCGAATATCACCAAACTGGTTTGAATCGTAACACATGAGGCCATCACTAACTAGGAGGTTAAAGGGATAGTTCACCCAAAAATGAAAATTGGATGTTTATCTGCTTACCCCCAGGGCACCCAAGATGTAGGTGACTTTGTTTCCTCAGTAGAACACAAACAAAGATATTTAACTCAAACCGTTGCAGTCTATCAGTCTAATAATGGAAGTGAATGGGAATCATGGCTTTGAGAGTCAAAAAAACATACACAAACAAAACCACATTAAACCCTGCGGCTCGTGACGATACATTGATGTGAAAAGACACGAAACGATCGGTCTGTGCAAGAAACTGAACAGTATTTATATCATTTTTTACCTCTGATCCACCGCAATGTCCAACTGTCCTGAGCGCGTTCTCGACAGCCGGCCCGTGAGGCGTCTTCTTCTTCTTGCTTTACGGCGGATCGCAGACTTATAAGTGCATTACCGCCACCTATCTCTCAAACGGACCATTGACACTATCTACAATCTCAATAAGGAGTGTAAATGGTCCATTTGAGAGATAGGTGGCCGGCTGTCGAGAACGCGCTCAGGACAGTTGGACATCGCGGTGGATCAGAGGTAAAAAATTATATAAATTCTGTTCAGTTTCTTGCACAGACCGATCGTTTTGTGTCTTTTAACATCAATGTATCGTCACGAGCCGCAGGGTTTAATTTGGTTTTGTTTGTGTATGTTTTTTTGACTCTCAAAGCCATGATTCCCATTCACTTCCATTATAAGACTGACAGACTGCAACGGTTTGAGTTAAATATCTTTGTTTGTGTTCTACTGAAGAAACAAAGTCACCTACATCTTGGGTGCCCTGGGGGTAAGCAGATAAACAGCCAATTTTCATTTTTGGGTGAACTATCCCTTTAACTAACACACAGCTGTTAACATACAGGTTTTGATGACCCAGTACGTTACAGGTAAATTCAATGCTATCTCTAAATACATTTAGGCAGCTCGGCTGTAAAACTGGCTTTTAAAGCACATGCCAGATAAAAGGTGAAGATGGTTCAGCACACATTCACAGTAAGGAATCGGCAGAGGAATTGGTCATGATATTTACGTCTTGATCAGCTTATTGTAATAATTATATATTTTTTGTATTTATATATTAATTGGAGTTTTCATCAGTTGCATTGGTTTAAACGTTATAGAGGAAGGTAGATGAAAACCAGCTGTTTCATTTACGTCTTTAGGGTTGCTGCCTTTTTGTTGACCTTTAAGGGAAAGTGATGCCAGGGACTGCCTTTGAGCATAGAGAGTTTAGTTTCCTGTCTGGACTTGTTCTTGTTTGCCCTTCCTTTCCATGCTTGAATTGTTTTCAGTGTGCAAGTCACATGGTAGAAGTTATCAGCCAGTATGGCTCCCTGCATAATTACATTGCCAAATCTGCTCTGGTCTTGCCATTGCCTCCATGTCAATTAAGCACTGTTATTTGAAAGACACATGCTTTCAAATTCTTTCCCATTGAAGTATATTCAAAAGTGTATTTGCATCTGCAGAGCAAAGCGTGGGTTATTTTTCTCCAGGTTAATTGGTCAGTTTAGCTCAGTAATGTAATTCGTGTGCTAACACATGCTCTCCACCCACAAGAACAGTTCAACTGCTCTAGCTTCCTGTGGTAAAGACATAGACCAAACGCTTTAATGGACTTCCTGTGTCACAAAGTAGTCAGAACACATCTGTCTCAAGTGCTTGCGCTTTTAAATGGACAATAAAAGCATGAAACGCTATCACTCCACAATCAGAACCTGTTAAAGCAGATCCATATAAAACATGGCTGAGTAATTGTGCTGGTGATTATTTCTGCACTAATTACCCAGAAACCTGTGTTGAATATGTTGTGAGACAAATAAATGCATACTGACATTGATATTTTTGGTGTGTTTTTGTTTTATCCACTTCCATTTAGGAATTTGAATTATCTGCAAAATAATGTTTTTGTTGCATATAAAGGCAATTTCCATGAGGTACAGTTTTTTTGAGGTTCAAATAGGAGTTTAAACTTATATGAATACTTATTTGAATATAGTTTAATTCTCTTTATTTTTGTTATGGTACACCACCTTTCAAAAGTTTATTTTATTTTTTTAAAGTTTTTTTTTTCTCAGCAAAGATGCATTAATTTGATAACAGTGATAATAAAGGCTTTAAATATATATTTTAAATAAATGCTGTTTATTTGAACTTTATATTTAAAAATGTATCATGGTTTGCACATTTAAGTAGCACAACTGTTTTCAACATTGATAATACAAAAAATGCAAATCAGCATATTAGAATGATTTCTAAATATCGTAAGACATAAAACTGGTGTAAAGGCAGTGTTGCATCACAGGAATAAAACTATTTTTTAAATAGAAATGTGTTATTTTACATTTTAATAACATTTTATACGTTAAGAGTTTTTACCGTAATCTTGATCAATTAATGCAGCCTTGGTAAGCATTTGAGACTTATTTCAAAAACATTTAAAAAAATCTTACCAACCCTAAACTTTTGAATGATTGTAGCTAATCAGCTCATGGGAAATATGAATAATTAACCATAACTAGTTATAATTAGTTTTATTTATTATAATGTTCTATTTATTTTATACTAGTTTTATTAAAAAAAAAAAATTCAGCTATGTCACCAGTTTGAGTTGAATAAAGTTTCAATAATGTCAGTAAAGTATGGGTAACAGGGTTAGAAATTTACCATAAATTAAAAAATTGTTCAGCTAGCACTTAAGGGGCCAAATGCTGGTTTAGTTATTGATAAAAAAAAACAACCAACCAAAAAAAATATATAAAAAAAACATTTTACACATGGTTGAATGGTTGAGACCCTATTAATGTAATTAATGCAAAAATTGTCTGTCCAAATTCTCATTTCCTGGGTATCACAGTTTTATATCTTAAAGTAAAGAGATACCGATTTGTATCCAGATGAAAGTCATTGTGCTTGTTTTAAAAACTAAACCATAGCAAAGAGGTTTCTTTAATGTAAGTGGCCAAACATATGGAGGCAGACACAGCCGTTTCTTTAAAACTAGAACCATTTATTTTGTAACCGCCACATTCATGAACAACATGATGGAGCCAACAAGATGTTTTTGGCATGCAAGAAATACAAATAACAGCTGTATGGCATTCACTATGACTAAAACTCTTCCAGTCCTCAGTGACGAATATGCAGTGCTGTACATCTAATCACGTTCAACATGCCTGGAGCTTGTAAACAGCAATCTTGGCATCTCCTCCATCTACACACTGAGCAGGTCAAGCTGGAACGAATTACGTTTTCTTCATGTATATGTGCCTGATATTATCGTCATTATTAAAACAACTTATTACAACAATGTACAGCTAATTTACAATGGACAGGGGCATATATGAATCCTGTCAGATTAAAACTGAATGTTTTGACATCTACTAAGATTATAAGATGCTGTTTCCGACAAATGGATGCCACGTAGTGGAAAGAAAGTCTAGTTTCTTCTGCCTCCATGGCCGGTCTAGTTCACCGGCTCTATATTTAGCCACTATCCACACATTTGACTATGGCAGACATCTGAGATATGTGTCAGTCGCCGATTTCAAAACAGCTGGAACCCCTCAATGCACGAGACGCTATTGGCCGTTCCTTCGAGACGTCCTGGTCATGATGACTATGTTTGACAGATGACAAGACAGAGTAAACCGAGCTGTTGGGTTAGGAGTCCTCAGCTGAAGAGTTACAAAAAAAAAAAAAGCTCCAGGCAGGTGAGTTTTAATTAGGGTTGGAGCTGTGCTCTGCAGGACTGTGGCTCACCAGGGACAGTGTTTTCCACCCCTGCAGTATATATTAAAATTCTATGGGAACACTTTGAAACTCACAGGAACAGTATGGAAAAATCAGCCCCAAAACTAACAGTTGTTTTCTTTAAAAAAAAAAGAAAGATAAAATATGAGAAAAATATAAATATAAGATGAGAAAAAATAGAAATGCTGTCTTGGCAACTGAAATAAGTTATAGTAATAAGCCAAGTACTAAAAGAAAAGAAAAATAAAGCGAAATATTATTATTAAAAAATAAAGGCAAAAGCACAGAATTAAACAGAATAAATTAAATGGAAAACAATGTCTAAATGTAAATGTCCAAGTAGAACACAATGAGTTGTATTAGCAACACTTCAAAGTCAAGCTCCATTACATTTTAATAAAAAAAAAAAGCTAAAAAAAATATGAAATAGTTAGAAATACCTATTACTGTACTGTCTGATCACACTGCAAAAAGTTATGTTCTTTAGTATTTTTGTCTTGTTTTCCACTCCAAATATTTTATCATTAAAACATTTTTAAAAATCTGCCTATGAGCTTAGAAATATGAACTCAATTAAAACGCAAAACAAGTTTTCAGACCCTACCGAGAGATATTTGTTGTTGTCTTAAGAATAAATTGACTTGTCGGCACCGATAGCCCTGTGGGCAGCACAGCTGCCCTACGTGTGTCCCGAGTTCGAATCCCGACTCAAGGACCTTTCCCGATCCCACCCCTATCTCTCTCCCACTTCACTTCCTGTCAGTTCTGATCAGTCCTATTCTAATAAATCTGAAAATGTCAAAAAATTAATCAAAAAAAAAAAAGAATAAAGTAACTTAATTTTTTTCTCAGAAAACAAGAAAAAGAGTTCATATGTTCACTTTGCATCTGAAGTTAAGGTATCTTGATTTAAGGATATTTGTACTGGAAAATAAGACAAAAATACTGAGAAAGATATTTCTTTGCTGTTCGTGCAACATTTCATGCCACAGCTTTATCAAAATACTTTCTGCTCTGATTTAAGACCTTGTAAGGCAGTGGTCTCAAATTCAATTCCTGGAGGGCCACAGCTCTGCAGAGTTTAGCTCCAACCAGCTCCAAATCACACCTGCTTGGAAGTTTCTAGTAATCCTGAAGGCCTTGATTAGCTGGATCAGGTGTGTTTGATTAGGGTTGGAGCTAAACTGTGCAGAGCTGTGGCCCTCCAGGAATTGCGTTTGAGAACCAATAGCCGTGTTTCCACTGTCGGGCCAAAAGCATGCGTGCTAGTGCGTGCCAGGGCCAGTTGCGTCTCCACTGTCACTTCCGGGGCTTGATCGTGCCTCGTCGGTGCTTCCTTGTGGCCAACAGCCAGGGTTTTTTTGGCCCGACTAAAACCTTGGGCCAAAGCGGGCCAACTGGGGCTAGAGGAGTGGTTATGAACAAAGGCAGAGTTTCTCCGCGTCTGGAGAGCGTCAGCGCCGCGGATCATTTCAGAAAGTTAACAGCTATAACACCAGCATTAAAGACTTTAATTTCAGCTCAAAACTCACTTTCAAACAGCAGCGAGTGTTTGAAATAACTTCTGTTTGAGATTCAATGTGGATTATGATCGCCATACAAGGCAGAAATATTTATAAGCGATGCAAAAGACTATGCACGCTAGCCATTAACGTTACCATAGTAAACATGGTAAATACGGCCGCTTGAAGAAATCAACGTCAGCTTCTCATTTTCTATCACGATCGTGTATTTATTTAGTAACATATTTGATCCGTCATAAGTCACATCTCGAGACTTTAGCTCTGTGTATGTCATAAAAATCTAATAATGGTTTTTGTTCAGGAGCTCCCTCTGCTACTCAGGTTGTATTTTTGATGGAAAAAAATATAGAAATGATCATTCTTTCTAAATGTGATGTATATTGTGACTACAAATAAACAGAAACAGACTTGACTGAATAAGTAGGGTATGTGTCCTCTTTCTTTTGTGAAATAACGGTTCATACCGCTTTATTTCTGTGTGACTAATTTTCAATCCTGATAAATTCATTATGATCAATGTATCACTTATAATTGTAAAACACCAATGCTTTTGGATTTAAATCTTTAACAAAACATGCAAACAAACGGCCGCTTTTATCATGATCGTTTTGTGATCACGCTAGTTCCAGTGACTTATTTCTTATTAGTTTTCTGATAACTTCTCTTTGTTAGTGAAATGATGGGGTTGCGTGACGCTGTTCCAAAGAGGCGGGTTTTAGTGAAACGCTGCGGAGCTTCTGGCCCGACGGTGGAAACGCATCGTGATTTTGGGCTCGGTGCTACAGGTCCGAAGCTATTAGCCAGTTGTAAGGCTATTCCGTGCAGGTGTCTCAGGACAGATCAGGTGCAATTTTAGTTTCTTACCTGTTGTGTATAAACTTCCTGCAGCTCTGGTGCCTCCAGCTCCCCCTGTAGGTTATCTGGGGCAGTAACAGGTCTCACCCCTGCTGTTCTGGCAGCTCGACTCACAGCCTCAGCGAGAGAGGGATGAGGACCCTCCCCCTGTGTGATCTGTGAAGGGAGGAAAGCGGTTTTAATTGAATTGTTCATTTTGCATAGGTGTTCTTTGGTAGCGTTCTAGTTTTAAATGAATGTAGTTGGCGCACAGACCTTCCTCCTCTTAGCTGGCATCCCATGCAGATAAGCATCAGACAGAGGCGGCTGTGCTTTCATCTTCCTCTGGGTCAACATGTCATGTCTTATGATGGGTACCCACTCCTGATTAACATATATTTAACACACATTATTTCTTAGTCAGTGTACAACAAAAAGGTGATAAAATAAACATTTAGCAGATACACTAAATCACAACAGACAATGGAGTCTCACAGGAGGAAGAGTTGCTGCCCATGGCTCCGCCTCTCCAGTTGACTCCTCCCTGTCTACTGGTGCCATGGCTACTGCTCCTCGTGTCTCCTCTAACAATGGCCTGCCAGGTGGTTCATCACCATCAGCAGTGTCTCCTGAGGATGCCATGACTTCCTCTGCAGTGGTGGAAGGAGCAGGAGACAGACCCTCTTCCATCTGTAACATATAATCACATAATACTATTATGAAATACAGTTTATAGTGCAGACAAACATCCAGATGTGTTCAAGGCCTAAGGGACAGGAAATACACAAAGAACAATTGCTTATGATGTGTGTGTGTTATTGTTAACTAGACTAATATTTTTTTTGAAACTTTAACGGAAATTAACTGAAGTTTAAACAGAGATACTAAGAACACTAAAAAAATAACAGAAATAAAAATAAAGCTAATTATTATTATTAATAATGATAACAGCAAAAGCACAATAAAATTATTAAAAATGACAATAAAATTGTCAATAAAATACATTTTATTTAATGAAATAAAAAATTAATTAGTTTTAGATCAGTGATGCTTTTTATTTTTAAACGGCTTTTCTGCTCACCAAGGCTGTATTTATTTGATCCAAAATACAGCAGAAAACAGTAATATTGTGAAAAATTACAATTTAAAATAACTTTTCTATTTGAATATATTTAAAAATGCAATTTATTACTGTGTTGGAATTTTCATTCTAATATGCTGATTTGCTGCTCAATAAACATATTATTATACAATTTTCTATTTCAGATAAATGCTGTTCTTTTGAATTTTCTATTAGTTTTTTTTCTCCTGACACTGAATACTGGAGTAATGATGCTGAGAATTCAGCTTTGCCAGCACAGGAATAAATTGCATTTTAAAATATATTAAAATAGAAAACAGCTATTTTATATTGTAACAATATTTAAGCAGCAATCAAATCAACAAAAGAGCAATAAAATACAAGTGCTATGACAAGTCTCAGTTAGCCTAACGCAATACACATAGCAAAGTTTTTTTTTTTTTTTTTTTTTTTTTTAAAAAAAAAAAAGAGTTAAAAAAAAAAAAAAGAAAAAAAGAAAATCAGGAAAATCAAATCAAAGCACAAGGGTTAAGGTAAATCCTTTCATTTTAGTCTTGGATTAATACTAAGATCCTAAACATATAGTCTTCCCTTATAAGAGTAACAAATAATAGACGAATAGGAAACTCAATATGATCAGTGCAAGCGTTTGAGGGTCAAGTGTTTTTTTTGTTTGTTTTTTTTATACTTTTTTATTTAATAATGTTTTCATTATTTTCATTGTTCTTTCGAAGTGACCATTTCAATGAATCAGTGAATCAAAACACTGAATAAACTATTTGTTTGCATCATGACTCCAAAATGTTCAACAAAAAAAAAGTCCGTTAAGTGTGTGTAATGTTAATTTCGTTAACGAAAACTATGACGAAAAATGTTCCTTGACCAGCTTTTTTCCCCTGACTAAAACGAGACAATGATGAGACAGAAATAAGGTCAATAAACAATAACGGTGATCTAGAGCTGTTAAAAATGGCTGAATAACTAAATTCGAAATTTGTATCAAAATATTATCAATATTCGAATTATATTCGAATTTAAAAGGCATAATTTCTTTTAGGGGGAAAGAAGCTTTTGGCTTCTCTCCTGAGGCTCCTCTACTAATGCATGTTTCTTCTAAGCAATAAAACAATACAACTATCTTTGAAAAAAAGTGCATAATGTTTATAAACAATATATAATTACGTTGCTTAACAATTAGAAACAAAACAGCATCATATATGTATATGTATAGTTTAAAACAAAAGACCGAAAACTAATCACAAAGAGCACTTTTTTTCATTTAAAAACATGATGCAGTGGGATGCAAAATAATTGCCACAAAGTCTCGAGACATGTTTTTTAAAAGTTGAACTTGCATTAATTTTACATGACTTTCTAAACATGCGGCTCTCTTGTGTGAGACGCGAGTGCAATGTTGATAGATGTCCCACTAGAAAATTCGATAAATATGCGTTCTGTGGGAACGGCTTGGTTTCAGTTTTGATGTAAACAACATCTTCTCCGCATTGAAGTTCTCTTTTTCCGCAATATTTTGGATGAGCAGCACCATATCCAGTGGGTTCAACTGGATAGGCTAAAAAAAGCATTAAAATGCAATGACACCTACATAGTCATTGCATCTTGTGTGCCACTGATAAGGCTGCCTGACACACACCTAAAATTCAAATGCAACGTTTTTGCATTCGAATGTGGATTTTTATTTTAAATTCAACGAATTTGATAATCAAAACAATTTTTGACAGCCCTACTGTGATCATATCACATGCAATATCGTTGACAATAAAAGACGAGACTAAAATGTATTAAAAAAAATAAACATTTTACCAAAATCTCAGCGTACTGCTGTATAACGTAAGCTTTCATGTGTGCGGTTTTGAAGACTTCAAATCCTCGAATCAGAGCTTCTCTGTTAAAAGGATACATTTTCTGCTCAGTGTTTTGTTAAATGTTTGCAATCTGGCAACCATGCGCACGCACTTGCTCTTCATTGCGAAAGCACCGAAGATGATCTGAAAACACCGGCAAACAAGCAAGCTGAAGTTTAGCAATCCTTATGTGAGATATTCTGCTTATATTAAATTTCATTGCGTGTCAATCAGCTGGTCTGTGTTCTGTCATAAGATCTCGACTATTTTGTTTGCGATTTTGGTTTCTGAATAAATGTACCTATGCAACCGCTGTTGTTTTAATAGAGAACCATTATCGCAATTTAGAAATATTGGAATTTCTATTAGAAATTTCATGGTTGTTTTCATAATGTAGACAGAGAGAGTGCACAAGTCTTTGATATTAATTTATGTTATAAGTAACCTGTAATCAGTACAATAGAAAATAAACCATGTGTATGAGTCGACATTCTATTGATTTGTGCTTATTGGTGAAAGTGCACTAGCTAAAATGCAAAAAATAATTTCTCAAATGACAACAGTCATTTTGATTATAATTTTGAGCAAAAATATATGTATATATTAGGGGTGTAATGATTCACAAAATTCACGGTTCGTTTCGATACGGCAACTGACGCCGCATAGGCTATTCTCTCAGAGACGACGAGAGATGAATGTACTTCAACATATGCTGATAACAGTAGCCTATATAGCTAACGGTTTTAATTTATTTCCGTAATATTTCTCTTGTGGCCCGTACATAGTGGAAAAAAATTTGAAGAAACGTATTTAGTGTTAAACAGGTTGTTATTGAAAGTTGGTGCTTGAAATAAAAGCTTTTTATTTCATTGATTTTTATTGAGGACTGCAGTGTTAATATTTTAATAATAGGCCTATAATTCATTGTAAAATAGACCTGTTTTAAAAGACCTTTTTTAAAACATTTTAATCGAGGAGTAAATAGCCTAATCTTTTGTTATCCTTGCAACGTGTCAGTTATGTGGTAATTATTGCGGGGCAAATTGTAATCTTAATTTAATAATAAAAGTATTCATAATAATAATAGGCCTAATAATATAAGAATGTAACAGGCCTACATTAATTGGACATGCCAAATCCTTTTAATATTGCCAATAATTGATGTCTTTGACAATATCTCTGGCTATCGTCAATACAAGATCATCGTCTTTCGATGCAACCCAGCAAGGGGAGGTTATCGCGGGACCTTTCACAGTTAGTTCACCCAAAAATGAAAATTAGGCTGTGTTTTACTCACCCCAGAGGCATCCTAGGTGTATATGACTTTCTTCTTTCAGACAAATCCAGTCGGAGTTATATAAAAAATTGTCCTGGCTATTCCAAGCTCTATCATTGCAGTCAGCGGGTGTTGCAGTGCTTCAGTCCCAAAGAAGTGAAATAAAAAGCGCCGTGACATAAAAATAAAAAAAAAGTGTCTCACACGGCAAACCAGTCTCCTCTTGGCTTATATCGAAATCCTCCGACATTCTTCTTTACAAATCCTCGTTTTGACTCGGCTGCGGTGCGGCCAACTGAATCTGCTGCTTCTCTGCCGCTCACTGCACAGAACAGACGCCGAGAGAGGTGACACTTCTCCGGGAAAGTCAGACCTCACGTTCGCGGGACAGCACTGGTGAAATCTTCCAACTGAACCATAGCTAAGGTTTATCCAAAAAAGTCGCTAGGTTCGTCAGTATGAATATCCTATGGAAAAAAGCCACTAAATCTAGTGCTCAAGTCGCGCTCGTGTGTGTGTGAGACGCGAGAGATGATGGCAGGAGGCGGTAGATATTTGTCAGAAGAAGAAGAGAATGAGCTTTATTGCCAGGTATGTTTACACATACGAGGAATTTGTTTTCGTGACAGAAGCTTCCACAGTGTAACAGAAGCTTACAGACCACCATTTGTGGTGGTCAATGTGGATACTGTGGATGAGTTCTTCGGTGTCATCACGTTCTATTAGTTCTACAGCGGAACTTTCACGCTTAGTAACACATACAACTGTTCCCTCACCACAGTGCAACAGTGAAATGGGACCCCTTTCAAACAGTGTCGCGTTCCGAACGTTGTTTAAGCGACATACACCGGTTTTGCGGTATTTTAAAAATTAATATCATAACAAAAATAAACACCAATATGAACCGGTATGAACCGCCCAGCACTAGTTACACCCCTAGTATATATATTTTTAATCAGTTTACCCATTATACAGCATGATGAAAATGTGACTAAGACTTCGTTGACTAAAACTGAACTAAAATGCTCAGACATTTAGTCGAATAAAACTTGACTAAAACAGGCCAAGATTGATACAGTGGGGAAAAAAAGTATTTAGTCAGCCACCAATTGTGCAAGTTCTCCCACTTAAAAAGATGAGAGAGGCCTGTAATTTTCATCATAGGTATACCTCAACTATGAGAGACAAAATGAGAAAAAAAATCCAGAAAATCACATTGTAGGATTTTTAAAGAATTTATTTGCAAATTATGGTGGAAAACAAGTATTTGGTCAATAACAAAATTTCATCTCAATACTTTGTTATAATATACCCTTTGTTGGCAATGACACAAAAAGTACATTTGACACAGGACTAAGACTAAATTAAAAATGCCTGACAAAATGAACACTAGTGTGTAATATTTATAGTCAAAGATAATATCATAATAGAACCCAATTACTGAGTACGTCAATTGAGTATGTAACTCATCTGAGATGAAAGTCATGTATGAAAGCAGTGTGAGCTCAGACTCACAGCTATGTTGGCATCGGTGGGCTCTCGGCCTTGTAGATAGTGCTCAGTGAAGAAGGCCATGAGCTGGGGCTGAATGCGGCTCAGAGGCTGAGGATTACCATGTAGCAGCAGAACCATGTCTACCATTGAGAAACTCTGACACACCAGAGACAGCAGATCTCCAAAGAACCCTGCCAAACAAACACAGACAGTCAAGCACAAGTACATCAAATGCAACTTTGAGTTGAGCCAATGAAACACAGAAACTGACCCACTGCATCTCCAGTTCCAGGAGTGAAGAGGTTGCTGGTCTGGGAAAGTCTCTGAATAAACTGGGTGATGCTCTCAGTGTTGCCTTGACCAGCACCCAGAGAACCCATCATTGTGGACAGGACGCCCTGCACGATGCCTGTGAAAAGCTCAGGGCTGAGGGTCTCTCCACCTCCACTGGGAGGCTGAGGGGCGGTAGTGTGGGCAGCTCCTGAAGGGGCAGAAGGCGTGGCTTGTGAGGGTGGAGGCTGCTGGTTTGGTGGAGAAAACACAGGCTGGCCAGACTGCAAAGAAAACAGGACGTTCAAATGAACACTTTTGGTAAAATAAGACTACAAAAACCCATTTGCTTAGAAAGGCACCAACCGGAATGAACTCAGACAGGCCCTGGATAAATGCAGGGACACCTGGAACAGTCACTGTAATGGAGGGAGGACCTCCAGACACCCCTCCACCAGCTCCCGCAACTCCTCCCAAAAGTGAGCCCAGCAGCTGAGCTAGGTTATCTCCTGGGCCGCCTTCCTGGGACTGACCCATGGACGCTGTACTGGTGGTGTGGGTGGACGTCTGACCGGATGTGTTGGTAGAGGATGGAGGAGCAGTGGAGGAGGAGATAGAGGAGGAGGAAGGGGTAGCTGTGGAGGTAGAGAAAGAGAAGGAATGGGACGATGAGGTAGTGGACGTCTGGTCGCCTGATGATGGAAAACATGGAATGTTTACAAGCTTTGTAATGTTGGATCTTGAAGAGGAACTGAATAGGTAAGGACCACTCACCTGTGTGCAATGGCATCAAAAGTTGCCCTACCAAACCACTGACCATCTGTGTGAGAGGAGAGGACGTCATAGGGTTGCCCTTGATTGAAGAACAAAAATTATCAATGAGTTTTATGCAAAGAGATTAGATATGGTAAATGGTAAAACCATCACATCACTGAAATATAAGCTTTTTTAAACAATATTTGAGTATAAGAAACAACATTAATGGGACAGTTAATGTCATATTTTGTTACTGATTTGAAATATGTAATTCAAATATGAATGTGGCAAGCAGTTTTTGAGATTTCAGGTGTTGCAAATATGGCCACCGACTTTCCTTGAAAGGGACTTTGGTTTTATGTCCAAAGCTCTCCTAAACACACTAACAATTTATCTTAAAAGTTCATACTTGGTTAGTCTGTTGTCCTGCTGGTGGGGGCACTGTTGCCCGCAGGTTGATGGTGGTCCCTCTGGTGCTCATTGGTTGGGGGATGCGTGGAGATAAGGTGGGCCGTGTGATGACCACCCTGGCCTGAGGTGGCGGAGGAGCCGGGCTGTCTGCACTCTGGGCACCTGTGCCTGCAGTGCCCTGCTGCTGCCCAGCAGAGGCTGCGGTTGCCATGGCCACAGCCTGCTGGGAGATCTGATGAATGATGGCCTGCATGAACTCCGGTGGCAGTCCTGGTACATGGATGGGTGCTGTGGTGCCTTCAGAGAACAGACGCACACAATTCAATGAAAAGTGACTACTAACACTGCTGTAAAATGAAACTGTTGCAAGGTTTAAATTTTACACACAAGACTACAAACAACAGCTGTGTTACATCCCAGTGCAAAAATAGTACTTTAACACCACTCAAATTAACAATTTTGTCATCATTTACTCACACGATGTTCCAAACCAGTATGACTTGATTTCTTCCACAGAACACTAAAAAAGGAATTTTGAAGAACCTCCAGAGCAGTGTTGATATCATAAATTAAAACTATTAAAAACATTTTTGTAATTAAAAAACTTTTCATAAAATAAAGTATTAAAATGATCATTAACTAAAATAAAAACCAAATAGAAATATATAAAAAGCTAATAAAATTAACAAAATCACATAAAACTATTATTAATTGAAAATATAAAAATGAATGCTAATTAAAAAAAACTAAATTACTACAGGGCTGTCAAATAGATTAATCGCATCCAAAATTTTGTGTTTGCATAATATGTGTGTACTGTGTATATTTGTATGACTATAAAAATACACACACATACATGTATATATTTAAGAAATATTTGCATGTACAGTACATACAGTATATGAATGAATGAATGATGATGCACTTATATAGCGCTTTATTGTGTATTGTTGTACACCCAAAGCGCTTAAACCTGTACATACATATGTACAGTATATACATATACAGTGGCATGCAAAAGTTTGGAAAACCCTTGCAGAATCTGTGATAATTTCAACAAAATATCACCGGAAGCGTCACGAGCGTTTCAGTACGAGTACTACACACAACCGCGCGTCTGTGCCATTCATTAACATAGAGACACGCAGAATTCATATTTAAATATGCATCGTTTTGCGGCTTAATATTTACAAATACTATCGGGCGGGGGATCGCTTGTGTTGATACAGAGAGCGCGACCATAACGTAGAGACTGAAATGACATGCCGTCGTGTAAATAAGATCAATAACATAAGGCTATTTAGTTTGCTTAATAAAAGAGCAAGGTATATACTGTACCTGTTCTATAGGAAAGGTAACTTTAAATGATTTCAGTTGTGATCTGGCGCTATACAGAAAATATAATTAAATCAAATTAACTTGACCTTCAAGGGGCGCGGGGGGGTGCCGTTGGGGTGGCGGCCGTCTGTGCCATTCATTAACAGAGATACGCAGAATTCATATTTAAATATGCATCGTTTTGCGGCTTAATATTTACAAATACTATCGGGCGGAACACCGCTGTGCGTGATACAGAGAGCGCGACCATAACGTAGAGACTGAAATGACATGCCGTCGTGTAAATAAGATCAATAACATAAGGCTATTTAGTTTGCTTAATAAAAGAGCAAGGTATATACTGTACCTGTTCTATAGGAAAGGTAACTTTAAATGATTTCAGTTGTGATCTGGCGCTATACAGAAAATATAATTAAATCAAATTAACTTGACCTTCAAGGGGCGCGGGGGGGTGCCGTTGGGGTGGCGGCCGCCCCCCTAAAATAATGGCAGGGGAAACACTGAGATGTCATCCAAATTTTTCTTATTTTGTTCAAATATAATTTTTTTCCATTTAGTACTGCCCTTCGGAAGCAACAGAAGATACTTGCATGTTTCCTGGAAGACAAATTAAGTACAATTTCCTTGATCTTCAAATTCAAAAAGATTTCACCAAAAAGATGCTGGAAAACTGAAGAATCTGCAGGACATGGAGGATTTTTCTGAAGATCAGTGCTCAGTTTAACTGTTCAGAACAAACAAGGGACTCATGAACAACCATCACAAAACAAAAAAAAAAACAGTTGTAGCTCATCCAGGTAACCAAACACAGTATTAAGAACCAAGGGTTCCCAAACTTTTGAAGAGGGCTATTTTAATAATTACAGCAATTTTTTGTCTTGTGGACTATATGTAAACACAAGGCTTGAAATTGCGACCATTTTGATCGCATATGCTCCCGAAATTTAATCTGTGCGACCTCAAAATATATTTGGGAGTATTTGTGCGAGTGCATATACAGTGGTTTGAAAAAGTGTTGGCCCCCTTCCTGATATCTTATTTTTTTGCATGTTTGTCACACTTTAATGTTTCAGATCATCAAACTAATTTAAATATTAGTCAAAGATAACACAAGTAAACACAACATGCAGTTTTTATATGAAGGTTTTTATTATTAAGGGAAAACAAAATCCAAAACTACATGGGAAGTATGTGCCTTCTGAGTGCTGATACGGTGACCGGTCTGTCATTCCATCAAACGTTACATAACCAATTAAACTTAAGCTTTACATTGTTACATTGTTAACTTTAATGCAGATTTTAGATTGGTTAATATTAGCTGTCAATCGCTCAGTCACTGCTTTCTGCTGTCAGGTGACAGGCTAACTACCGCACGGAATGTAAAGGGCTGAAGAAGAGAGAAAATGAAAAGAACACTGACATTACTTTTGTAAGCCGCCTAAAGTTACAAATAATGGTGCTGGTGATAGCGATCATGTGGTGAATGTTGATCCACCAGCCGAAAAGGCGGCGTACAGTTTTCGGAGAAAATGGTTGAAAGACTTCGAGTGGCTTCGCTATGAAAATGCACTGCGCTGTGTGCTCTATGCACTGCATTCACTGTAAAGCCTGTGGGACGGAGTTTGCAGGTAACGGCGTTCGCCACTGAATCTACACATTTCATAATTGTTGTTTTACGATGTGCGTTTTGACATTATCGAGTATATTGCAAAATCCAAACAAAATGTGCACGTATACATGACATAATGAAGTCTAGTAGGTTAGACTAGTGTGCATGCGCATTTAGATTGCGTTCTTTCGCTGCATGATTCATTCTATTAAAATGCATCACAAAATTCAAGATATGGGGCCTTTATATCATTTCATGTAGTTAATCAATACCATATTGATTATTATATTATTGAACAGATATTGATAACTGTTCAATAAACAAGAAGTTAATATTAAGAGATTTACGTTTTAGACACCATATTGCCTGTTTTGCTCTATTTCGCCAACAAAAATAATTCCAAACTAAGTCACAACACTGTGTTGCGTCGCTGAGCAACATGAGGGTGTCTGGTTCCTGAATGAATCAACCGTTTTAAATGATTCGGTTCAATCGCAATGACTCACTTATTAACAGTGACTTGCTGACACCTACTGGATGTTTTAAAATCAATACCACAAGAATGTGATATTGATTATTATATTATTGAACAGATATTGATAACTGTTCAATAAACAAGAAGTTAATATTAAGAGATTTACGTTTTAGACACCATATTGCCTGTTTTGCTCTATTTCGCCAACAAAAATAATTCCAAACTAAGTCACAACACTGTGTTGCGTCGCTGAGCAACATGAGGGTGTCTGGTTCCTGAATGAATCAACCGTTTTAAATGATTCGGTTCAATCGCAATGACTCACTTATTAACAGTGACTTGCTGACACCTACTGGATGTTTTAATTTCACATTTAAAGTTTCAAATATTTCAATTATCAGTGTTCAACTTTTTATGTTAACAATATTAAAACATATGCATGTGTATGCAAGTTTTTTGTTTTTAATTATATAATAAATTAAAAGAAAAACAGAATAGAAAAAGAATAGTGCAAACTAGTGTTAGAGGCCCACATATATACATACATATATATATATATGTGTGTGTGTGTGTGTGCCCAGTAAACATTTTAGTAAGTCTGCATCTAATAAACAATATCTAATAAAGAGTTAATTCCACATGCATGTGTATGCAAGTTTTTTGTTTTTAATTATATAATAAATTAAAAGAAAAACAGAATAGAAAAAGAATAGTGCAAACTAGTGTTAGAGGCCCACATATATACATACATATATATATATATGTGTGTGTGTGTGTGTGTGTGTGTGCCCAGTAAACATTTTAATAAGTCTGCATCTAATAAACAATATCTAATAAAGAGTTAATTCCACAAACTTCACTAACTTTAACGATAAATATATTGCTGTCAATACAACGTTTTTCAGTTTTCTTCAAAATAAAAAAATAAGCAATGGCAAATGTGTTTTTTTTTTTACTATTTTAAACAATTTTTCTCTGAAATTGTCAATGGGCCCCTAACACCCCCATGGGCAACCCATGTTAAAAGACTACAATGTATATGGTGAATTTAATTATTATGATGATGTCTGGATCTCTTTAGCCCCAGTCCCGCTTTTATTTTGTTGCATGGAAAACATGCAGTGTAGAAATTCTGCAAATATTTATTGTTTTGTGTTCAGTGTAAAACAGTAAGTCAAACTGGTTTTGAATGACATGAGGGCATGTAAATGATGATAAAGCGTATTTTTTGAGTGAATTTTTTTGCCAATGGTTACTGGCTATAGAGAGAGGTGGAAACTAACCAGTCTCTCCAGCAGCTCTGGGGTTCTGTTGCCTTTGGCCCTGCACTCCACTGTCTGAATCTGCTGCACAGAAATGCACAGATCAGTGGTCGGCAGTTACACTACAGCTACCCATTCCAGGTCTCACAATTCCTTTTTTGAAAGCAACTATTTTAAATTATAAAATTATAGCATGATGAAGAAAAGAGTTTGGATTATTCTGAAGTGCAGCAGACCAGGAATGGGCAGCATGGCTAAATCACAGTGCTAAGAACACTGGGCTTCTGATTGCGGGTTGGTGACATACCATCCAGGTTCATCTGCATCATGACCACTGGCTCCATGGTCTGGTGAGTGATTCTGATCACTCTTGGCGTCCCCTGACCATGACCCGTCTGTTGACTGGCTCCATTCAGTGGAGGAGGTGGTGCCTGACCCTGAGGCTCTGATTGGTTGCTGGGCTGTGAGGTTTGGGCCTGACCCTCGCTTGTCTGTCTGCTGTTTGCCGTCATGGTCATAGTGGAGCCCAGGTTCATCTAGAAGATGACATATTTTGAGGCTGACTGTTTGTTACTAATAGTATGAAAGTAGTTTTGCATGTATAGTTGGTTAGCTCACTGGAATGGGAATATGGGGCGGTCCACTCTGCAGCACAACAGGGGAGGTGTAGTGAGACATGGGCCGCGCCACATGTAAGTGGCGGGGTGGCTGAGCTGATAAATTGCATCGGAGGTCACTCAGAGCCACCAATGTGTTGCCAAGGAGATGGAGTGACTCTCCAATCAAATTGAGAGTGCGCTGATCCTCCTCTCGCTCTTGAGTCTGTCCAAGAAACCCATTTTCAGAAGATTAGTATGATGCCTTACAGCGCATATGACAATTATGTAACATTAAACTATCGCGGGCATACATTGTTATTGTAGTCAGCGGAACTGGCCGCTCCAAGGATGGAATGTGTTCTCTCCATGAATGGACGGAGGCGCTCCTCCACCCTTCGCACCTCTGACAGAACCTCCACCAACTCTAAAGGGCTGGGGTGACTGTTGAGACATGGAAAGAAGTTACACTTTGTACATGTAAAAAAAAAAAGTAATGGGCCAAAGACATGACGATACATCACCATTCAACGTTCAGGGACAGTGAGTTTTTTTTTTTTAAGCTTTTATTTAGCAAGGACACATATCAAAGGTGACATTAAAAACTGTTATAAATGTTATGAAACCTCTATTTCAAATAAATGCTGTTCTTTTGAACTTTATATTCATCAAAGAATCCTGAAAAAAAAATGTATAATATGTTTTCCACAAACAATAGTGAATTGTTTTTTTCAACACTGAATATATTTCCTGAGCAGGAAAACGTGTATCAGAATGATATTTTAAAAAGTATATTAAAATGTAATAATATTCCACAATATTAGTGTTTTACTGTACATTTTATCAACTAAATGCAGCCTTATTGATCATAAGACACTTGAAAATATGAAAACTTACCTCAAACTTTTGTACAGTATTGTATATCACATGATTTGATCTTTTTATGACAAGGCAAGGTTCAGGTTATAAAACATCAATGTCTCCCCCAAAATAATATTATGAATAATCATGATAGTTTTAAAAATTACTTATCTTGAAACCTCCACCAACTCTAAAGGGCTGGGGTGACTGTTGAGACATGGAAAGAAGTTACACTTTGTACATGTAAAAAAAAAAGTAATGGGCCAAAGACATGACGATACATCACCATTCAACGTTCAGGGACAGTGAGTTTTTTTTTTTTAAAGCTTTTATTTAGCAAGGACACATATCAAAGGTGACATTAAAAACTGTTATAAATGTTATGAAACCTCTATTTCAAATAAATGCTGTTCTTTTGAACTTTATATTCATCAAAGAATCCTGAAAAAAAAATGTATAATATGTTTTCCACAAACAATAGTGAATTGTTTTTTTCAACACTGAATATATTTCCTGAGCAGGAAAACGTGTATCAGAATGATATTTTAAAAAGTATATTAAAATGTAATAATATTCCACAATATTAGTGTTTTACTGTACATTTTATCAACTAAATGCAGCCTTATTGATCATAAGACACTTGAAAATATGAAAACTTACCTCAAACTTTTGTACAGTATTGTATATCACATGATTTGATCTTTTTATGACAAGGCAAGGTTCAGGTTATAAAACATCAATGTCTCCCCCAAAATAATATTATGAATAATCATGATAGTTTTAAAAATTACTTATCTTGAAAAATATTGAAATTATTAAGATGTGTACATTCATGTACACAATGTATCATGTACATGCATTCAAGGTTTAAGGAAAATACATTGACTTTTTACTTAGAGGGATGGTCAATTTGCTCTTAATTTAGATCAGGTTATTCAGGTAATAATGTTAATAATGTTCAGTTTCTTGCACCGTCCAAGCATTTCACTTCATAAGATATAATATATCGTCAGGAGCCATGGTTATTTAATTGTACTGCTTGGATAAGTTTTTGTTTTTTGACTCTCAAAGTGACAAGGTTTGACTCACCAAGGACAATGGTTTTAGCTAAACATCTTTTTTACTGTTCTACTGGGAAATAGAAGTCCTCTATTGTGCATCCAGGTTGGCCTGAGTGTGAGTAAATTAAGAGTAATTGTTCATTTTTGGTTGAACTATCCCTTTAATGGTTACACCACGTGACATTTTTAGAGCCATTAAATCCAAACCTTCTTGAAGATTGAAGACAATTTTCAATTAACCATATGAAATCAACATGAATACCAGAAATACATTTCTAAGAGCCTGGCGCATGCTTTTTACCTAGATTGTTAAAAGATTTTTCCTCATCACGGACTATTTTATTTGTCCTAGACCCTAATATTTTCTCTTACTTGGGTCCAGAGTGAGTTGCTCCTTCTGTCTGTGAAGCTGAGGATGAGGAGGAAGGTGGAGGTGGGGAGCTGTCCATTGGCTGTGCTAAGAATGAGGATGATGATGGCTGAGGATGTGGTGTCTCTTGCTGAGATGACGGTTCACTTGACTGACCCTGAAACAAAAAGTTAAAGTTACTTTTACCTGAAAATACGAATCAAGCCGAATGACATTTGATATATAATTAAGAAATCCAAAAAGATTGTTTTATTTGTTGGATGTAAATATTTGTTCTGCACCTCAAGTCTGTGGATTAAAGCCTGTGTCTCTCGCAGCAAGCTTTCAGCCAGCTGGAGCCTCATCCTGGGCTCGCTCTGCACTGATTGGTCCACGTTGATATGGACATCCACAGAGCCACTGCTCTGTGAGAGAGGAAATAAATTACTGTAGATGTGTCCAGAGATAACCTTCCATTTTAAACAACAGACTGTGACCAGACAAAGCAAAAGCGCTTCTAATACAAACATTCAGTACACTGCTTATAATGTTCATAATTATGTAAGTATGGTTGGTGAAGTTAGAGGACGCAAGTATGACTCACTCCTGTGCTGGTGCTCACTCTGACATTACGCCCCATTTCTCCAACACCAGCCAGCATCTGCTGCACTGACATCTAGATGTACACAATGTATCATGTACATGCATTCAAGGTTTAAGGAAAATACATTGACTTTTTACTTAGAGGGATGGTCAATTTGCTCTTAATTTAGATCAGGTTATTCAGGTAATAATGTTAATAATGTTCAGTTTCTTGCACCGTCCAAGCATTTCACTTCATAAGATATAATATATCGTCAGGAGCCATGGTTATTTAATTGTACTGCTTGGATAAGTTTTTGTTTTTTGACTCTCAAAGTGACAAGGTTTGACTCACCAAGGACAATGGTTTTAGCTAAACATCTTTTTTACTGTTCTACTGGGAAATAGAAGTCCTCTATTGTGCATCCAGGTTGGCCTGAGTGTGAGTAAATTAAGAGTAATTGTTCATTTTTGTTTGAACTATCCCTTTAATGGTTACACCACGTGACATTTTTAGAGCCATTAAATCCAAAACTTCTTGAAGATTGAAGACAATTTTCTATTAACCATATGAAATCAACATGAATACCAGAAATACATTTCTAAGAGCCTGGCGCATGCTTTTTACCTAGATTGTTAAAAGCTTTTTCCTCATCACGGACTATTTTATTTGTCTTAGACCCTAATATTTTCTCTTACTTGGGTCCAGAGTGAGTTGCTCCTTCTGTCTGTGAAGCTGAGGATGAGGAGGAAGGTGGAGGTGGGGAGCTGTCCATTGGCTGTGCTAAGAATGAGGATGATGATGGCTGAGGATGTGGTGTCTCTTGCTGAGATGACGGTTCACTTGACTGACCCTGAAACAAAAAGTTAAAGTTACTTTTACCTGAAAATACGAATCGGTCTATAAAAAAAGTACATAATGTCTAAACTGACATTTATAAATCAAATATGATTTCGTAAATTGCATAAACAATAATGAACAAAACAGCATCATGTATTTATGTATAGCTTAATACAAATAGCCAAAGCGCCGATCACACGATTGCATTTAAAAACACATAAGACGCAGTGGAATGAAATAAAACCCCCACAAATTCTCGAGACATGTTTTCTAAAAGTTTAACCTCTTTTAACTTTACATGGCTTTCTATTAATCATCTCTTGTGCGAGACGCGAGTGCAACAGTCAAGAATGCGCCGAATATGCGTTCTGGGTGAATGGCTTGGTTTTGGTTTTAACCTAACCAATATCATCTCCGCATTGAGCTTCTATATTTCTCTAATATTTTGAATATGCAGCAGCGGCGCATCTTGTGGTTTCAACTGGATATAGACTAACAAAAACATCAAAATGCAACAACATCATCCTCACCACATCTCGTGCGCCGCTGATAAGGCTCTCTGACGCACACCTAACATTCAAATATACCGTTTTTTTCATTCGAATGCAAATTTTTATTTTAAATTCGACTAATATTCCTTTTTTTGATTCACAGTCCCCTCATCGCACGGCACTCATTTCAGCGTGTGTTTGTGTGTTCTGTTGGCGCTCTGCTTGTCACTCATAACACGCACCTTTAAATAAATTTTTTTTAAAAAGTGTGAAACTATTGTGCGATACATCGGAAAAATTTTCTATCGTTATCGATGATGGTGTACCGTCGATAAATATCGATACTGTTTTATCGCCCAGGCCTAATTAGGGCTGCAATGATTCCTCGATTCTATTAGAGTATTCAATTAAAACAAAATCCTCGATTTAATTTTGCCCGCGTCGAGTAGAGTGGTTCTAGAGCATATTCGAGGGCACACTCTTACCGTCAAAAATAGGCGAGGCACCTATCTTTAGCGAAGCGGTGCGGAGAGCCGCTTCTGATGGAAACTTAAGCATTGACTAGAGTGGCCGCGTCGGAGTCGTAACCCGCCGCATTGTAAATAAGGGGTAAGTCACTCTTGCAGTATTTTGACGTCATACACCGATCGGTCTGCTTTAAGTCAAACACACAACTTATGACAATAGATTTACACTTCGAATTAGGTAGTCTGCCATCGATGACAGTAGCTCATTGGAAAAGGCTGAAAAATGCCCTTCATTTGGTTTGCACTAATAAACGCTGCTGCCTGCCAGCTAGGGATGTGCCGATAGACGATATTATCGTGTATTGACGATAGTCAGAGATATCGCCTGTGGTTGATGCCTTTGACGATAGCGCGCTGACTGAATTCTAACTCACAAATTCTCTCATCATAAACAACAAAGTGCAGATCTACGTCCGATGTAAGTATAAGAGATTTATTCATACAGCGTATATTCGCTGAGTTTAACGCGAGTGTTTTTAAAGTGCATAACGCGCTAGACTGAGCTTGTGATGATGTTGTTTGGTAGTGTAATGTTCTTTGCTTGTTTTCTGTAGCTGCTTTTTGAATAACTGAGGAAATGTAAGCATTATAATTAGTAACTTACGATGTTTCTATTAATTTGTTATCATGTTAAATACAAATTCGGTCTTATTAAAAACATTAGGCTGCTTTTATCCTTACGCTGGAGTTGGTTCACTTTCCCACAATGAAACTAAGTAAATAATTAGGCTACATAAATTAGCACGATAATATCGTGTATCTGTGATCTCACAGGCTGACGATACGACGATATGAAAATTGAGCATATCGCCCAACACTA